AGAAGGAAGGGCTTGTGGTAACCTTGGCAACGCTTATGACAGTCTGGGGGATTTCAAAAAAGCCATTGAGTACCATAAACTGCATCTAAAAATTGCCAAGGAAGTGGGAGACAGAGGTGGAGAAGGAAAGGCTTATGAAAACCTTGGCAACGCTTATGATAGTCTGCTGGATTTCAAAAAAGCCATTGAGTGCCATGAACGCCATCTAAAAATTGTTAATGAAGTGGGAGACAGAGATGGAAAAGGAAGGGCTTTTGGAAACCTTGGCAACACTTATGGTAGTCTGGGGGATTTCAGAACAGCCATTTACTACCATGAACGCCATCTACGAGTCAAAAAAGAAGTTGGAGACAGGGCTGAAGAAGGAAGGGTTTATGGTGAACTTGGCAATGCATATGACAGTCTGGGGGATTTCAAAAAAGCCATTGACTACCATGAACGCCATCTACAAATTGCCAAAGAAGTGAGAGACAGGGCTGAAGAAGGAAGGGCCTATGGTAACCTTGGCAACGGTTATTACGGACTGGGGGATTTCAAGAAAGCCATTGAGTACCATGAACTGCATCTAAAAAATTCCAAAGAAGTGAGAGACAAAGCTGGAGAAGGGAGTGCCTATTGTAACCTTGGCAACGCTTATGAAAGATTGGGTGATTTCAAAACAGCCATCGACTACCATGAACACCATCTAAAAATTGCCAAAGAAGTAGGAGACAGAGCTGGAGAAGGGAGGGCTTATGGAATCCTTGGCAAGGCTTTTGATAGCCTAGGGGATTTCAAAAAAGCCATTGAGTACCATGAACAGCATCTAAAAATTGCTAAAGAAGTTGGAGACAGAGTTACAGAAGGAAGGGCTTACGAAAAGCTTGGCAACGCTTATCATAGTCTGCTGGATTTCAAAAAAGCCGTGGAGCACCATGAAAGCCATCTAAAAATTGTCAATGAAATAGGAGACAAGGCTGGAGAAGAAAGGGCTTGTGGAAACCTTTACAACGCTTATTATGTTCTGGGGGATGTCATACAAGCTACTTCGTACCGTGAACGCCGTCAAAAACTTGCAGCAGAAATGGGAGAGAAAGCTGAAGAAGGAGGGGCCTCCGGTAATCTTGTCAACGCTGATCATAGTCTGGAGGATCTGAAAACAGCCGCTGAGTACCTTGAGCGTCATCTAAAAATCGCCAAAGAAGTGGCGGACAGAGCTGGAGAAGGAGGGGCTTCTGGAAACCCTGGCAACACTTCTGATAATCAAGAGGATTTCAAAAAAGGCATCGAACACCATGAACAGGGTCTAAAAATTGCTAAGAAACTGCGAGACAGACATGGAGAAGGAAGTGCATATGAAAAGCTTGGCAACGCTTATCATAGTCTGGTAGATTTCAAAAAAGCCCTTGAGCACCATGAACTCCATCTACAAGTTGTCAATGAAATGGAAAACAGAGCTGGAGAAGAAAGGGCTTATGGAAACCTGTGCAACACTTATGATAGTTTAGGGGATTTCGAAAATGCCATTCACTACCATGAACGCCATCTACAAATTGCCAAAGAAGTGGGAGACAGGAGTGAAGAAGGAAAGGCTTGTGGTAACCTTGGCAACAATTATGACTGTCTTGGGGATTTCAATAAAGCCATTGAGTACCATGAGCTGCATCTAAAAATTGCCAAAGAACTGGGAGACATAGCTGGGGAAGGAAGGGCATATGAAAACCTTGGCAACGCTTATGGTAATCTACTGGATTTCATAAAAGCCATTGAATGCCATGAACGCCATCTAAAAATTGTCAATGAAGTGGGAGACAGAGCTGGAGAAGGAAGGGCGTATGGAAACCTTGGCAACACTTATGATAGTTTAGGGTATTTCGAAAATGCCATTCACTACCATGAACGCCATCTACAAATTGCCAAAGAAGTGGGAGACAGGAGTGAAGAAGGAAAGGCTTGTGGTAACCTTGGCAACAATTATGACTGTCTTGGGGATTTCAATAAAGCCATTGAGTACCATGAGCTGCATCTAAAAATTGCCAAAGAACTGGGAGACATAGCTGGGGAAGGAAGGGCATATGAAAACCTTGGCAACGCTTATGGTAATCTACTGGATTTCATAAAAGCCATTGAATGCCATGAACGCCATCTAAAAATTGTCAATGAAGTGGGAGACAGAGCTGGAGAAGGAAGGGCGTATGGAAACCTTGGCAACACTTATGATAGTTTAGGGTATTTCGAAAATGCCATTCACTACCATGAACGCCATCTACAAATTGCCAAAGACGTGGGAGACAGGGTTGAAGAAGGAAGGGCTTGTGGTAACCTTGGCAATGCTTTTGATAGTCTAGGAGACTTCAAAACAGCCGTCGACTACCATGAACTGCATCTAAAAATTTCCAAAGAATTGAGAGACAAAACTGGAGAAGGGAGTGCCTATTGTAACCTTGGCAACGCTTATGGAAGACTGGGTGATTTCAAAAAAGCCATCCACTACCATGAACGGCATTTGAAAATTACCAAAGAAGTGGGGGACAGAGCTGGAGAAGGGAGGGCTAATGGAAACCTTGGCAATGCTTTTGACAGTCTGGGGAATTTCAAAACAGCCATTGAGTACCATGAACGCCATCTACAAATTGCCAAAGAAGTGGGAGACAGGATTGAAGAAGAAAGGGCTTATGGTAACCTTGGAAATGCTTTTGATAGTCTGGGGGATTTCAAAACAGCCATCGCCTACCATGAACGCCATCTACAAATTGCCAAAGAAATGGGAGACAGGATTAAGGAAGGAAGGGCTTATGGTAACCTTGGCAACGCTTATGACAAACTGGGAAATTTCAAAAAAGCTATCAAGTACCGTACGATGCGTCTAAAAGTCTCCAAAGAAGTGAGACACAAAGCTGGAGAAGGGAGTGCCTATTGTAACCGTGGCAATGTTTACGAAACACTGGGTGATTTCAAAACAGCCATCAACTACTATGAACGGCATCTAAAAACTGCCAAAGAAGTGGGAGACAGAGCTGCAGAAGGGAGGGCTTATGGAAACCTTGGCAACGCTCTTGATAGTCTGGGGGATTTCGAAACAGCCATCGACTACCATGACCACCCTCTAAAAATTGCCAAAGAAGTAGGAGAGAATGCTGGAGAAGGAGAGGCTTACCGTAATCTTGGCAATGCTTATCATCGTCTGAGGGATTTCAAAACAGCCATTCAGTACCACGAACGTCATCTAGAAATTGCCAAGGAAGTGGGAGACAGAGCTGGAGAAGGGAGTGCCTATTGTAACCTTGGCAACGCTTATGATAGTCTGGGGGATTTCAAAACAGCCATGGAGTATCATAAACGCCATCTAGAAATTGCCAAAGACGTGGGAGAAAAAGCTGGAGAAGGAAGGGCTCATGGAAACCTTGGCAATGCTCATGATAGTCTGGGGGATTTCAAAAGCCATTGACTACTATAAACGCCATCTACAAAATTGCCAAAGAAGTGGCAGACAGGGTTGAGGAAGGAAGCATTTATGGTAACCTTGGCAACGCTTATGACGGTCTGGGGGATTTCGAAAAAGCCATCGAGTACCATGAGATGCAACTAAAAATTTCCAAAGAAGTGAGACACAAAGCTGGAGAAGGGAGTGCCTATTGTAACCTTGGCAACGCTTATGAAACACTGGGTGATTTCAAAACAGCGATGGAGTACAATGAACGTCATCTAAAAATTGGCAGAGAAGTGGGAGACAGAACTGGAGAAGGGAGGGCTTATGGAAAGCTTGGCAATGCTTTTGATAGTCTGGGGAATTTCAAAACAGACATCGACTAAAGTGAACGCCATTTAAAAATTGCCAAAGAAGTGGGAGAGAAAGGTGGAGAAGGGGGGGCCTACGGTAATCTTGGTAACGCTTATGATAGTCTGAGGGGATTTCAAAACAGCCGTCGACTACCATAAACGCCATGTAGAAATTGCCAAAGACGTGGGAGACAAAGTGGAGAAGGAAGGACTTGTGATGATCTTGGCAGTGCTTATCATCGTCTTGGGACTTCAAAACAGCGATGGACTACTATGAACGTTATCTTGAAATTGCCAAAGAATTGGAAGACAAGGCTGATGCTGCCAAATCGTTTTATCCTCTTGGTAGGAGCTTTGAATTACAAGGGTCTCCGCCCAGTGCTATTTATTGTGATCATTCCAGTGTGAAAATGTTCCATATCGTTAGGCATGATCTGAAAGGTAAAAGCAAGGTGAAAATTATCTACCACAATATGTATGAAAGACTGTGGCGCGTGTTGTTAAATCAAGGCAAGGTAAACGAGGCTCTATTTGCTGCTGAGCAAGGACGTGCACAAGCTTTGAATGATCTTCTGGAATTAAACTACGGGTTCGAAACAGCTTACTATCCGTTACATACACGGCAGGAAAGTACATACGACCCATTCAGTTTTCTTGCACTTAGTGGTGTATTTATAGCAATTGATGAACGAGACATTGTTTTGTGGGTTGTTCAAGACGGAAAAGACGTGGAATTGAGGAGAAAGGAACTTTGTGATAACAGTTCAAGTAATTGGTCCATGGTAATGAACCTATTTTTGTCCCCGAACGTCCATAATTGTGTCTGGCCCCGTACGCTGCTATCGTGGATTCTAATTCTAGGTATTTATGTAATGTTTGTAGAATCCGAGTGGTTCCCTTCTTCACCAGTTTGAAAATGATCACTGATTCTCCGGATGGTTACCTCAACAACACGGAGGTGCTTCTAGTGGGTGACCCCTTAGGTACAAGAGGTTGTTTTGTCGAGGAAAAATACTGGAGCAGCTGCCATGCGCCAGAAAAGAAGTAGAGCTGATTGGAAGAGTAATTAACGCCAAACCCCACATTGGAAGAAACGCAACAAAGAATGAAGGGCCAAGACTTGCCTCAGTTGCTTTGATACACATTGCTACGCATGGTCGAATGCAAAAATGTGAAATTGCAAGGGACCCAACACTCCACGGGAATCCCACGTGCCTGCGAAGTAATACTTCCTTTTAACTATGAAAGATGTAACGAGTGTTCAAATTCGAGTAAGGCTGGTGGTGTTACGTTGCTGCCATAGTGGTCGTGGAGAGATTAAGGTTGAGGGGGTTGTTAGTATTGCACGAGCGCTTCTGGGTGCCAGTGCTCGTGCTGTCCTGGTGTCCCTGTGGGCGAAACGTTTCTACTCACACGTGCTAAAAGGAATCTCAGTGCCAGTGAATCCTTGAACAAATCTTTGAAATGTATGAGAGAATCGGACGATTTTAATGAAATGAAACACTGGGCTCCGTTTACGTCGATTGGCGATGACGTCACATTGGAATTTGGTGGAGGGGAATAAATGTCTTTTACGGTAAGTAGGACTACGTGTTTTGTGAACTATTCGTGCTTTAGGAACTGCTGTTGTTGAAATGAAAGAGCTTTCAGGTTTGGTACCATATACAACTCATTCGATACGGGTCTTCAGAAGCTCAAATATCAAAAAAAATATCTGAAACACTATCACACTTTGTGACAAGACGTCATACAAAAAGTAGAGCACTGAAAGGCCATAGTACATTTTTGACAGCAGTCTGACATCATTTAATATAGTTATGACAGTTCTTTGTACGAAAGAATCATCACAATGTTTAAATTATGTCATAGTAACTTTGAAACCTTACTGGTGTAGCTTGTGAATAATTTCTTTACGAAACGATTCCAGTATGTGAGAGATTTATTGAGTGTGAGTATACCAGGTTTTCAATGACAGTACAAAATTTACTTATATTACTTTTATATTTTATATTTCTCATCCTGTTAGGTACGGAACGTGGAAAATGTACATAGCGAGGAAGCGACCATAATACTGCATCTTCATCAAGACGCGTATTTGGACAATTTGCCAACTTGATATGAAACTGTTTTCATCACCTGGAAAATGTTTAAGTCTACAAAATGATACGTAAATAGGAGTCAAGGGTTTCGTAATTAAGGTATCAGTATATCTCGATCGATATCTCGTGGGTTTCCTTTACGTTGTTTATGAGTGCGCCTTTTCGTTGTCTGCGGCGTCTCGCAACCTTTTCCACTAGACAGAATGTGAATCCGTTTTAAGCTAAGGCATTTTGAAATCGAAAAGAACAAATGGAAACGAAAATAGATGGTTTTCACTGTCAATCAACGAAAAAATAAATTAAAAACTATTCAGTGGATAAAGTCAAGAAATTGTAATTTTGCAGGAGACAGGTGAAGAAAACATTTCTCCAAGTTTTGGGTCTTTGCATTTTCCCAAAGTTCGGATATTCGTCGAAATGTTTTGCGTAAATTTACAGAGCCCAGTATGGAGTCGCCATGTTGGTGGAGCTCTGTGCTCCACCAATATGGCGGCCGGAAAATAGTGCAAACATCTGGAACTTTCTTTGGCTATCTAGGCGACTGATTATCTGAACTGAACCAACAAACACTTTTTCTAACACTTTAACTCCTAAAAAGGCTAAAAATCACTAGACAAGTGTATATTTTTCCACAAACGCGATCGGAGCGGTATGTCACGCCCTGTCATAACTCTGAACTTCAACCTGGGCTGGCTACTAAGCCAAGCATGCTATTGAGCTGAAAAGTTGTAAACAGGTTTAAGTTTAGATCCCCTTATGCCTGATGAGGATAAAAACTTTCGTGGCTCTTTAGTTTTGGTTTTTGGAATTTGATGACGTCACGTGAAAACGATCTATTATTTTCTTATTAACTTGGGCCGCTACCCGGGGATTCTCCCTTATGTGGGCTATATAGGTATGTGCGGTATGTGTTTTTTCTTGCTTCTCTCAACAGTTTCGACTATTTTAGTGAACGGGGTGCATGTTTAATCAACTCTCAAAGTTTGAATGAGTGTCAAAAACAAACTAGACAAGTAATCAAAATTTCCCGACATTTTCGTTTTAGAGAAAAGTGTCAAGAAGACATAGCAATGTTGATCGCGTCCTCCTGTTCACATCCGTCCGGAAACGTACTTGATTACACTCATTTTTTATAAGAATATATTTTATAAGAATATCGAGTCTGAAATTAGCGAATTTTAAGAATATTTTAAGAATAAACTCGAGGCTGAGATTTTGAAAAGGATTAATTTTGTGTTGAAAATTTGTAAATACAATGCAATTATGTGTTTTTAACTAAGCCGTATACATTTTTTCCTCTAAACGGCAAAAGTAGCCAAAAAGCAACAAAAACATTACTGGCAGTATGTTCGATGCTAATAACATTTCTGCGAGATGTTATTTTTGTGAACATAACTGATATGCCCGTCATATCTTTAACACCAACACTTTCGAGAACCGATATGTCATGCTATAATCTAAGAATATTCATAAAAATATTTTCAATCTAAATTCGGCAGAAAAATAAGGATATCCAGCCTTCGCCGGAAAAACACTATTCTTTTAAAACAAAGAGTGTAATGAACCTTTGTACTTTGGGAAATCGGGCGCTATATTTTGGAAAACGTACATAACGTACAATTCGAAGAAAATAAGTGTTTTACTCGGGTTTTCGTAAAACGTCCGACCGTAAAGCGGCGCCAACGAATGATGGTCATTTGGGGTATACTGATACCTTAAGGGAAAAATCAGCGATATAAAAATTTTTCACAGAATAGCTCTTTTAGTTGTTCAGCGTTATTATCAAGACGGATGAGACCAACTCATTTGAACTATTGTCAAGATATTAGTATATTGATTTTGGCGTAAATAGGGAACTCACTCAGAGCTGTAAAATTAATAACTCAATAACTGACATCGCTGTAGTCAATTTTGTTCTCTATATCATCAGAACCATTTAAATGCCTTGCGAAGCAAGGTGTTAAATTTTATGGTTACTGGCATGATTTCATTTGTTACACTTCAACGTACTATTTGAGCGGTTTGTCAGCATGTAGCCTAGGCAATCACAGATTAATAAAAAAAAGATATATCTGTATATATCCTTTATTTACCCTCGGCAATGGTTATAGCACAAGAACTAGTGGGGCCGAGCAAACAACTGAAACAAATAATTCAAATTGAACATAACATTGCTAAGAATCCCAACTGGCCGGAGGCAAACCAGTTGGCTATTTACAAGCGTGGCCGAGAATTTGAACTCGGGGTTGCCGAGAAACAAATCCAGGTAGTGGTCAGAGCGGGACTCGAACCCGAGACCGCTGGATTACGAGTCCGAGCACGCAGCCTCCTGTAGTGAATTTTCCCGAAATATGCAGCCAATAGCTGTTTTCAGGAGAGACATCGTTGGAAAAATTGATATGTGTTTTTCACTGACTCATCAGTTTTGGTTGGTGTTACTGAGACGTTTCAGCTAATTCTTAAGTCTTTATCAGTTTTAAGAACCAAGTGGAACTGGTGAAACTTTTTAAACAGTAAATTTCCCTTCCCGGGTATAATTTCAATGTTTTCAGTAATAATCAAAAGCCGTTAGGTGTC